TCTTATGATCAAAGATTGTTTCATTTTTCCCATACTTTGTGACCAAATTCACTTTATCGAAAATATTGTTCACAACCAATCCTTAACTCTTATTCTCTGGAAAAGAAAACAATAAACATTCATTTACAAACCCTTTACCATCAAAGCTCATAATGAAAATCACATTTCTCAAGCAACACAAAGACAAGAACACTAGCAACAATATAAGAAAAAGGAAAAAAAATGTTGTCAAAATCACCCTCATAAAGAACCCCTCAAAATTCACAGTAAACACAGAGAGCTGAGCAATGGCTGTACAAACTTTCAAAAAATGTTGACAAAAGCTTCGGAAGTTGATGCGAATTAAGGCAAACGAGCATGGTGACTAGAAAATAAAAGTGGATCAACTTTTTTTTTTTTTTTATCATGCTTAGTACTTGATTTTATTCAGTACAAAAAGTTTCAATTAGCATTGGATCTCGTACGAGTGATTTTAAAAAGTGGATCAAGCTTGTTTTGCTCAACGAGTCGAACATGAACGGGCTCGGATAAAAGTAAACAAACGGTAATTGAGGATGGAATTGAAATGCTCATACATATATAAACTTACAAACCCAATGAAAAAAAAACATGTAGCAGATATTAACATTAAAAATGCCTAGTAAAGTGATCCTTACTTGACATGAGATGAGATGATGAGTATTTTAGCTTTACTTGAGAGGGAGAAAAAGAATTTAGAAGTACAAATACAAAAACAGCCTAGTAACAGTTTTTTTTTTTTTTTTTTNNNTTTTTTTTTTTTTTTTTGGTATTAAAACAGAACAAAAAGAGGCAAGATCTCCTAATTTAACAAAAACAAAGATTCAAATATCTCCAATATATCAAACGCATCACAAATATCTCCAATATATCTCAATATAATTAGTGGATTCTAACTAGCTACATTATTCCACTATTTAACCTTGCATGTATTCCTCAAATTATGTACTATATATTAATCTGTGTCGAGCTGGTCACTACAGGGGCAGAGTCGAGCTGGTCACCATTGAAAGAGGTATACAAAACAACAACAAAACTTGAAGAGCAGCACATAGACACACATAGCCCACATAGACACATAAACTTGAAGAACAACAACATCAAACATAGTAAGAAAATGGAAAATATATATATATATATATATATATATAAACAAAACCTAGATTAGCCGCATTAAATAATTTCCACAATTTAACCATACACATTTCATATACGCATTTATTAATTGGACTCAAATACACATTTTTACTAAAAACCCTAAAAAACCGCCTAAAAACACAACAAAATTGACAAGGTTGGGCATGAGCCTCTTTGCGGAGAGCACTCGGCAGACTTAAATCGATGAGAGGACAAGCACCAAAATAATAATAAAGTAACCGCACCTTAAATCGCCGAAGGAGGAGCGCAGCGGCCGTCAGTCGGACAAGCAGCAATTAGTCAGAATTCGCCGGAGGTGGACAATTCACTCTCACAATTTAACCAAATCTAAACATGACTCTTTTAAACCGAACTAAGCACATAAAAGCAAATGAATTCGGCCAACAAAAGTACAAAGGAGCTCAGCCATTATACCTCCATCAGGAATTAAAATGGAAAAGAAACCTGTTTCTTCCACCCCTTTTCCAAAAATCGCAACACAAAATCCTAAAAACCGCAACACATTTTAACTAAAAAAATACTAAAAATCGCAAAAAAAAAAGAAAACAAAATCGATTGAAAGCTTCGAACCTTGTTTCGCCGGAGAAGAGAGCTTCGAAATCGCCGGAGCTTTAGCATAGAGGGAGAGAGATGAAACAAATCGATTGACTGCGATAAAGAAAACCCTAAAAATCGCAACACAAAAAGAAAACAAAAAAAAACAAACCTTGTTCCGCCGGAGAAGAGAGCTGAGATTGAAAGCTTCGAAAAACAATAGAGCTTCTTGTTTGCCGGAGAAGAGAGAGCTGGTCGCAGAGAGAGCGGCTTTCGAAAGCAGAGAGAGAGAGAGAGAGAGAGAGAGAGAGAGAGATGTAAAATGGAAGCGGGAGGCAAATGAAAAATTGAAAATATGTGAAAATTAGAAAAGATGAAAAAGGGCAATTTGGTCTTTTTGCAACCCAAAATGGTTAGATTTCATCTTTTTAAAAAAGATGGTCATATTTCATTTTTTCTTTTGTTAAAGTGCTATAAAGCACCATTACCACTAAAATCTTTTTCCTCTTATCTTGGTCTCTTCTTATCTCTTCCCTTCTAAGTAGGATACTCTATCAAGATAAGGAAACCATATAACACAAGGAAACCAAATAAAAATAATATAATACCAAATGTAAAACGAATATATACAAAAATAAATTAAAAAAAGTAAAATAAAAATAACAGTTAAAGTAAAATAAAATAAAAATAAGATTTAACACTCTCCTTCTTCATCAATCTTTTTCATGAAAAATATAGTTCTTCAATTTCCTATAATCTTTCTTTCAATTACACATAAATTCAATATATACAAACAATTCCACGAATATCATACGTTGATCAAATTTCGTACATCAACACAATGCTTGGAATTCCCAAGAGCTAATCAATTGTGAAAAGGAATATGCTCCAAAAATAAGATCATATCCTCCCTATATCTTATTATAGAATGCGTTGAGCTTACGTGGCTGCTTCTGGTGCTTAGGAATCCTACTTGGCGAAAAATCATGCTTCGTAGTTAGGTTTGGACAAATAATATTATATATTAATAATTAATAATCTAGGTTCGAGCATTCCATAAATATTATTTATCTAACTTAGGTATTTTAATATTAATTGTACTCATATAACCCTTTAATTCTTTGTAATTTTAGATAGTGAGTCACTAAGTGACTAATATATCCCTGAATTTTGATTTGTTTCCTACAATTAACAATTGAATTGTAAATGTATTTTAAAAGTTGATAGCTTTTGTATTTCTTATCGGTTTTACATATATGATATAATATATTAAATTAATCATCTTTTGATGATTTTCGATTTGACATCCATATTGTATATATGAAATAGATAAATTCTATTTATCGTTATAATAATAAAAAATAGTAATATTTACTAAAATTCATTAGAAAAATAAAATTATTTCTCAATTGCTATATTTATGTTTAATGTAGTTATATGTTGTAAGTTAAAAAAATTATTATAATATAACACAAGTAAGCCGCACAAATAAAAACTGTCATACTAAATATAATAATATAAATATTTTTAAAATATATTTAAATTTTCAACTACCTGTTTTCATTAATTTTAGATTTTAAGAAGAAAAAAAAATTAGCAAGCACCCGTGTAATACACGGGCGTTGTACTAGTTATATTAAAGTAACAAAAGAGATACATAAACTTTGACATAATGAGGAACTACTATATATCGCATTTTTAACCATGTTTTTCCAGTGGCTGCCGCCGCGCCTATAAAAATCCATAATGGACCACACAAAAGCCAAAAGAAGACTAACAATATATTGACTTTTGAGTCTTAATTCAAAATTATCCAGATAACATAAGACCTTAGAATATTTTCATGTTCTATTAATCTCGTGTTGCTACTCACTTGTTTTATTAATGGCATTAATTTCATTCACATGAATGACATTGTAAATATCTTTTCAGCAACATAACATCATCTAATATGTTACTTACAAGCATTAAAAATAAATGTTTTGTCTACTAAATCACAAACTATATATATAGATTAACACCCTCCCCCTAAAAGAAATCATAGCAACTCATCAAAACTCCCAAGAATATCCATCTGGGTCGGGCCGTAAAACGAGTCGACCGAAAATATATCCTCGAACTGCTCCCTCATTTGCGACACGAACACGCCGTCCATAGCCGGCGTCCCTAGAACCGAGTCCGAGCTCGTGGGGGTACCGTCGATCGAGGACGATGACAACTTCTCGTAGCCTTGGCTAGGCTCGTTTTCCGGCGACAAGTCGCCGGGGAAAAAGTGATCCGTCTCGAGGAACTCTCCCCCGGCCGTGAAGTTGCTCTCGTCACCCGTGTACCGGGAGATGTCGGAGTTCTTGCCCGTGAGCTCTTGGACGAGCGACCGGAAACGAGACGCGCTAGTCTTCACCTTCATCGGGCTAGAAATGTAGACAACTTTGAGTGAGTTGTTGTTTGTGGTGGTGCTACTCTTTCTCTTCTTGGCCTTGTGAGGATTCTTGTTTTGGACCAATCCTTGAAACTTTTGGTCAAAGTTCATGGCTTTTGTGAGGGAAATATATGTGTGTTTTATTTGAATTTTGATGAGGTGGGTTTTGTAAAGAAAATATCAAGTGAATGGATGATATATATAGGTATGTGAAAATTAGGTAATCTTGAAAAAAAAGAAAGAGGAGTTTCTTGGAAGGAGATGGATAAAGATTGGATGCAAAGGAAGTTGGAAAATGTTTTCATTGATTGAGAAATAGGAAAGATAGGGGAAATGGGGGGTTAAATAGAAGGTTCCCTATAGGTACTTGGGTGACCCGCAAGCTCATGGTTTGATCAAGACCAATAATGTAAAATAGTACATTGCTTAATATGATTTTCTTATTTTATATTTCATATATGTATTAATAATTCAATATATCTTGAATATATGTGTATTTGTGTGTGTGTGTGTGTGTGTGTGTGTGTGTGTATATATATTATATTTCATATATGTATTAATAATTCAATATATCTTTTATATGTGTGTGTGTGTGTGTGTGTATATATATATATATACAAAATATGAAATTTATGTGAATTATTATTTTTGGTTATGGTATTTGATAAATTATTAATTAATTTACTCATTTTTTTATTTGTTTTGTTGCACTTACAAAACTTTAAACCAATTTAATAACTTTCTAACCAATATTCATAGATATATTAACTTAAAACTTAATTTTATATCGAAATTTATTTTTAATCATTAGAAATATATATTACTAGCATAACACCCGTGTATTACACGGGTGTTTGCTAATTTTTTTCTTAAAGTCTAAAATTAATGAGAAAAAGTAGTTGAAAATTTAAATACCTTTTACAAATATACATATATATATATATATATATTATATTTAGTACAACCCTTTTTATTTGTGCGACTTACCTGTGTTAAATTATAATAATTTTTAACTTACAACATATAACTACATTAAAAATAAATATATCAATTGATAAATAATTTTATTTTTCTAATAAATTTTAATAAATATTTTTATTTTTTATTATTATAAAGATAAATATAATTTATTTATTTCATATATACAATATGGGTGTCAACTCGAAGATCATCAAAAGATGATTAATTTGATATATAATATATGTAAAACCGATAAGAAATACAAAAGTTATCAAGTTTTAAATACATTTACAATTCAATAGCTAATTGAAGGAAACAAATCAAAGTCAGGGATATATTAGTCACTTAGTGTCGCACTATGTAAAATTACAAATAATTAAAGGGTTATATTAGTACAAGTGATATTAAAATACCTAAATTAGATAAATAATATTTATGGAATGTCCGAACCTAAATTATTAATTATTAATATATCAATATTATTTGTCCAAACCTAATTACGAAGCATGATTCTTCACCAAGTAGGATTCCGAAGCACCAGAAGCAGCCACGTAGGCTCAACGCATTCGAGAATTATATATCGGGAGGATTTGCTTTCTATTAATATAAGTGAGTATCGATTAGAAGAACGTTAGAAAGTATTTAATCGATATATTTTATAAAGAAACATTTAATATTTATAAAAAATAAAAAATTATTTTATATAAAAGAAAAAAAAATGCATAATTCTTCGATTACAAAGAAACAAATATAAAAATATATGGGTGTTAACATAAATTACTAACAAAAGAGAAACAAGCTAATTTTTTAGTACAAAATATTTTGACATGAAAAATATCAATTTATTTCTTATTTTTTTATGCATAAATAAAAATATGTCTAAACAAGAGAGTTTTGTACTGGGTAATTTATATATTTATTAATAAAAAAATAGTAAGTGGACAAAAAACAAAAAGAAAAAGGGAGAGTGGACCAAAATCAAAAACACGTATTCACTAAATTCGTTTTCTTTACAATTTCACTGTAAAACGTATTCAAGGAATACGTTTTTCACATTTTTTTTACAAAAGAAAACGTATTCACGGAATACGTTTTACAATTAAAAATTGCAGAAAACGTATTCAGTGAATACGTGCTTTTCATTTTTTTCACTCCCACTTTTTTCTATATTTTTTTGTCGGCAAGTTAAGTTTTGATTTTTTTTTGGTAAAAAAATCGTTTTGTACTGGTAGGGAGTAAACATTTAATCCAAAAAGGTGTATTGACTAAAAGACTTCATAAAAACTTGTGATATTTAAAAATGGATTTAGACAGACATATTCTGCACAGCATTTTTAATATTTAATATCACAAATTAATGAAATTATAAATAAAAAGTATAAGATTTCATATTAAATTTCATAATTTAATATCTATTATAAAAAAGCTTAGTAAATCTAATGTGTATAATTAATAAGGTAAAAAATAACTGGTTATAATTAATAAGGTACAAAAAATAGAGAAATGTTATGGTCTCGTTATGGAACCATCTCGTTGGAGCTTATAACCGTTAGATCAACATGTAGTTAATATAGGATAGTTAATCTAACAGTTACAAACCCAACGAGATTGATAATGTTTGATTTATTATCCTCACAGCGCAGCCATAGGCGACTTGAGAAAATATTGTAAATTGTATGAAGCATTACGTGGACGAATGTTTATGGTTTGTAATTTATATAGTCGTTAATGTACGGGAATTTTATTGTGTTTGATGATGTGTGTGGATTGATAACGTAATCTTTTTCTATGGTCTTTAACTCTTAAGATAGTTATATATAGATATTACCAACAATAATTGAACATCTAGAAAAGGTAATATATTCTATTATTTTTTTTTTCCTAGAGATTGTACGGAGAATATGTATGAGATTTAAGTGTTCAAAGGTTGATGATTAAGCCTTTTAACAAATTTTGACTTTATGAACCCATGTGCCCATGTCCCTTTCTCTATAAGGGTCGGGGCGTGAAATATAACTGCTCAAAATGAGTTTTTTTTTTATAATCATAATTAATTTAAAAAATTTAGTATGATTAGTTGTTAGAGAAAGTTTGAGCTTATAATAAAATAATATTTACAATAAAATTATTAAAGTTAATTTGATATAAAAATGTGAAAGATGATGTGAATTGATGGTTAGTTAAAATTATTTGAGTGGATGAATAGTGAATTAAAAGATTAAATTATTTGAGTGGATAAATAGTGAATTAAAATTGATGTCATATGTAAAAAAGACAAATTGATATTATTTAATTATATTGATAATATCAGGAATCGTGAAATTGATATAAATATAAATTTAATATGAGTTGAAATAGAGGTATAAATCTCCTTCACATAAAATAGAGGTATTGTTTGGTAAACATGTTTTTAGGCAGCCTTTAACGATTTAGATTTGTTTTTTGCAGTTTTATCCTTTAGTTACTTGTTTGGTAATATAATTTTAGTGGGGTGTATTCATTTAGGAGTTTAAGACTTTAGAAATCATGGTATATTAAATTTAGACTTCTTAAGACTTTTTTAAAGTATTAAAAGTCTTGAGGTATTCATTTGAGTTTTAAAAAAGTCTTACACAATGTTAAGGTATTTAACTTATTTAATACTAATGTATTCGTTTGATATTTCTAATTACAGTTGGAAACCTTTTAAAATTTTCATATTTTGAAGGAATCCTATGAAATTTTGAATTAGAAGTGAAATTTTGAGTGAAATTTCGTATAAGTTTTTTTGTTTTAGAAATCCCAACAAATCTTAAAAAGTATTAACAAATCTTAACCTCAAAAAAGTTAAATAACAGATTGATAAAGCAAAAAAATTTTCTTTTCTCTCTCTTGAGAGTGGTTCTTTGTCTCTCTTGAGAGTGTTTGATTCTCGTTTTCGAGAGGGTTATCTTCTTCCTGAGAGTTAATTTCTTTTTCGCGGGAAGAGTGTGGGTTGAAGGGTGCGTGGGTTTTAGGTGTGTTGTGTTTGTGGTTTGGGGCAGGGTTTTCGGGTTGTTATTGGGGGTGTTCTTGGGGAGTGGAATTAGGGTTCTTGTGGTAAACTCGGCAATTGATATTGGAGAGGGCATTGTTATGGCTAGCGACAACGATGATCTGGAATCGTTGATGGAGAAATTTTTGCTACTGGAGAATGAAATTTCCTATATTGACATTGAAGATCGAGATGTTCGTACCAGTGACGAGGAATGCAAGAGGAGTCTCTTCGAAAAAATTGCAGGGGAGAAGAAAGCCAATTGGATTGGCATCAGAAGAGCTATGTCCCAAGCTTGGAAGGTAGGTAATTCATTGGAGGTTCGGGAACTTGAGGATAACTACTTTCAGTTTATATTTCAAAGTGTTAGCGACAAAACGAAAGTCGACCTGAAAAGAAACTGGGTTTTTGATAATCAATACCTTATATTGCAAGAATGGAAAGAAGGTTTGAAAAGCAATGATGAGTCTTTTGATATGCTTAATCTCTGGATCCAAGTCCACAATGTTCCTTTGAACTGGATAAGCACAGAGGTAGGACTGAAGCTCAAAAGAATGTTTATGGGGATAAAAAACGTCCACATTGCTAGAATTGGTAATCAGGGGGGCAGAGTTCTGAGAATATGGGCAACTCTCAATCTGAAAGAGCCAATTCCGAGATGGGCTAATATCAGGCTGGGAGACAATGCGGTGTTAGTCCAATTCAAGTATGAGAAGTTGATCAACCTATGCTATTACTGTGGGAGGATTGGACACTTAGACAAAAACTGCAATAAGAAGATTCTGGATATTGAGAAAAATGAAATGAAAGGGGGACAATATGGAGAATGGGTGAAAGCAGCAGAAGGGATCCATTGGTCAGAGTCACCAAATCTCAGTAATCAATCTCCTTCAGAGGAGCAACCTGAAGAGGGCAAAACTGTTTATGGGAGTACTTCTAAAAATGCAGAAGGGGAAGGAGGGTCATCCAATAAGCTTGAGGAGAGACAACTTCAACTTCTCAGCTCCAATGAGACTCAGCTGCAGAAAATGACAGGTGTTCTTCCAGTGGGAGATAAGGGATTTGAAATCCCTCCACAAACCTTATGTGAGGAGGCAGGTACTGCCATGAATGTTACAAACCTAGAGCACACTGGGGG